GTTGATATTTGTTCTATCAGTTGCATAGTAAATGCCATTGATATATCTGTTTTTATGCTTCCCAGATTTCTGCTTCAGAACAGAGACTGCATGAGACAGACCATGCTTGCCTGGTGCGGTCCGGAGGTAGCAGAAGTCGCCAGCAGTCTCTGGAACTTGAGAAACAGACACCGATACGAGGCCGAGGACAGGTGGTATCGATGCTCATGAGATCATGATGAACTTCTCCGTGCATGAGACGCCTCACCTTGGACCACAGCTGCTTCCAACTTCTACTCTGTTTGACAGACAACTTTTTTCTACTTCACGTGACATACCTGAAGCAGATATCGGTAATAATGGCATGCCATGCATTTATCTGCTCTGATACTCCCCCCCCCCCTTAAAAACAACAAAACATACCCCCCCCCCAACAAAAAAACCGAATAAAAAAATAAATAAAACAACCAACTAACAACACGATCAAAACAAACAAACAAACACACAATCCAAAAAAACAACAACATCTAAATAAATTAAAATTAAAAATCGAGCTGGAAAAATATGTCGGTTTCTTCGATTTCATTTTTTCGACAAGCGAGTGATTCCACTACCTCCAGCCACAGACACAATCAATTTAGATTAAGCGCGACATAAACCATTGCACTCGATCTCTACTCCACGAGTTTTTACCAGATTTCATCGAGTTCCCACCTTCGCTTCTCGGTCTCAACAAATTGGCGCCATCAAAGAAGCTCACTTCAAAGGGTATGGAACTCAATTTTTTCTTCGGGATAGTTACAGCATATTCGAGTACTTGTTCGAGTTTCAAACTATTAAACATGCCACTCCACAGGAATTACAAATTTCTATCTGCTCAGTATCTAGTTTTGAGGAATTTGATGTAAAAATGTGGAATTCCACAATGTGTCAAGCTCTTTCGAATTCATATCATTTGAATATTATCAAGATAATGGCTCCGAATAATCTTATTATTTTGATAATGATAGAGCAGACAGACCATTTTGGTTTCTGACTTCATGGTCTTTGAAACTAAAAACGGCCAACAAAATGTCAAATAAAAAAGGTAGCGATGTGCTAAATAAAGTCAGTCAATATTATATTGTGCTTCGTCCTAGCGTCATGATGGTTGTGTTCGTTGAATTTCCGTAAGACGTGAAAACTTTTCTCATTCAGCCTATGTGATTGCTCCTTCAGGCTGTTGTGTTGTTCCGTCGGTCAATGAAGAATTTTCTAGATCTAGATCGAGTTTGAACATATTTTTGAAAATTTCAAAAGCTTTACATACGTCTATGTAAATGATAGGTTAGATTTCCCTTTACGTGTACGATAGAACTTGGTTCATTTTGTTGAGTTTTCGCCGTAATGTGTGCCTATGTGTGTGTGTGTATATGTGTGTGTGTATGTGTGTGTGTGTGTGTGTGTGTGTGTGTGTGTGTCTCCTTC